ATGTTAATAACTTGATTGGAATTATAACCTTGAGTTGACAGTTTGATACTTTGAAAATTTTGAGCCAGCCCTACCCCCAAGGGCTGTAGGGTGGGGCTCAAGGGAGTCAGTGTGCTAAAATTTCTTCATTTTCCTTGTTTAGAATCAGAGGTGCTAGTTTCAAATCCTTTTTAGTCTGAAATCTGTATGCTTGATATTGAATAAGGTGGTTTTATTGTTTTTTGTCACTTTGAATAATATTTCTGTTCATGTTAAAAACGAAATCAACTCTGTATAAATATATCAGGTGACCGTTAAGGCCCATGGGCCTCTTGTTTATTTATAACTAAACATTGTATTTTATTTTAGAAAAAGTAGATGTCTGCCAGTCACAATCCTATGGGGGTGGTTCCCCTGTCTCAGACTCAACCACCAAACCAGAAGTTCTGTGTGATGAAACCAACAATCATACAACACAGGTAAGTATGTATTTGTTGTATCATGTCATATATTTGTATATGATTTCTGTTTCTTTTTTTAATAACAGATCTCTCCTCCTTGTAACCTGGTTTATTTACATGTAGGTGCTCCTAGAAGCTAGAATTATTAAACCTGGTTTATTAACATGTGTATGCTCCCAGTAACCTGGTTTATTTACATGTGTATGCTCCCAGTAACCTGGTTTATTTACATGTGTGTACTTCCTGTTACCTGGTTTATAAACATGTGCGTAATACCTGTAACCTGGTTTATTTACATGTGTATGCTTCCTGTAACCTGGTTTATAAACATGTACGTAATCCCTGTAACCTGGTTTATTTACATGTGTATGCTTCCTGTAACCTGGTTATAAACATGTGCATACTCCCTGTAACCTGGTTATAAACATGTGTGTACTCCCTGTAGCCTGGTTTATTTACATGTGTATAAGTTCCATATGTTGGTTATTTGTGCTTGCTCGTTGTTACCATGGTTACGTACACGTCAATGCTCCCTGTAACCAGATTTAAGTACATGTATGTACTCTTGTAACCTGGTTTATTTACAGATCTCTCCTCACTGTTTCTATGTGTGGTGGTAGTAACAACAACTTTGATTTACAAGTCTGTGTTCCTAGTAACTTGGCACTATCTGGTCTATATTGCCACTCAATGTTTAACTTAGGGACTATAGTATGGAACGCTTTCAAATATTTAGTAGGTTCCACGCTGTGACGAGTAAAAGTCCCCTGGAGTGTGGTTAGATTCAATCATTCAACCAATGACCTTTGTTTGTCAAGGGCGTCTTGCCTAGCAAACAGGAAAAAAATCCTTAAATACCTACAGTCATGGTTTTATCACCCAATATTGAAAATCAGAGAGGATAATGTATCACTGTTCACTCGTCCAGCCATCGATCCTGCTGTCCTTCTGGCTGTCCAGATATTATATCCATGATAATAACTCAAATTCCACTGATAACTAAAACCCAAACTCAAAATGTTTACAGGTTCCAAAATAATTGCTCTTCAGACCAAAAGTTCAAAGGTCAAGGTCACCGTCACTATAATGTAAAATCAGTTTTCCCGCTATGACTTGATTTCATATGGGTCAATGAAACTGAAATGTCATATAGGGCTTCCTAGACTACATGCTTGCCTTTGGTTGGTATTGAGATCTGTGATCACCATCCATTCAGATTTATTATGAGTCGGCTAATTTAGTCCTTTGATGGAATTCGTCTGGCTATCTATGTGGCTTTATATAGACAGACTTTTTCAAAATTTTAGATATTTACACAGTATCATGTGAAGCTATGCATGTCAGGTTTGTGTTTTGATGCATGATGAAGGTTACAAGGGGAATACAGAATTACAAACAAAACTGTGATTTGGACTTAAAATTGATAAACTCTAAGGCAAGGTTTACGACATAAGCCCTCTTCTGTATCAATGACTGCTTTCTGGTTAGTTATGTTAATTGAGGTCAAATTGTTATAATGTTCTGAAAATGAGGACTTGACTAGCGACAACAAAACCACAAAGCATGTTTAAGAACATAGTAGAAAAATTGATATTCATATCACAAAAGGAAAGAACTTTTACCAGATCTTGATGATGACCATAAACTTGCCCACTGTCTTCATCATTCTGGGTCACAGCAGTTATGTCCTTCTAATCATTTTGTTTTCGAATACACTTTAATGACACCTTCAGGGAAATAACTGACCTGCTGTAATCCACTGCATGATCATATAGGGCAACTAATGTGGGGCCCCGTGCAAAATCAAGGCTTCTGAATCTTCTGCTTATGGGACAATGTAAAAAGCAAATTTGATAAGCTTCCTCCATATATAATATTATCATGCAAATTTGTGACATTTGTATTTACACCCAACAAATCTCATCATATGCAATATGCATGAATCTGAGTAAGTAAAATATGAGGACATTGATAAAATATGAAGAAAAAACAAAGTGGACAATTTTTATAGAAATTTACTGTAGTCGGCATATATATATAGAAATAAATGTGATAAAACCTAGCTTGAATTGCTACAGATTCCGAATTAGAAAGAGGAACTAGAAAATCCTGAGAACAAAAAGCATAAAACAAATCTGTTGAATATATATACTAATCTGGTAACACAACCTGGCCTTCTGCCAATTGCAACATGCCTACGGTGTGCTGCCATGTTAAATATATGTCCATATGCACAAGGAGGTGCTCAGATGCTAGTTCAATTGAATTATCGGGATCTTGTAGACATCTGATTCATCTAAAAGTGCATTTTTATGTCTGCTTTATCCAAGACCTGTAAGTAATGTTTAGCTGTTTAGTGTTCACACCCTGAAACATATTCTTGATCCACTCAAGGGAACATGCAGCTGAAACGTTGTTTTGAATGAAGGATTGAGTCTAAGTGTAGTCAAGTTTATCGGTTGATGATTTGAGTTGGTCTTGACATACAAAATGAAGTAGTTCATGTTAAATTCATCTCGCCGACCCAACTCATAAACTTGGCCCATAGAGCGACATCATCCTTGAGGCTTCTGAAGTACAACCATGTTTGTGAGAGCAAGGTTACTCAGGTATGTATTCCAGGTGTGTCTGTTACAAACCTGGGACTACTAGTCCTGTGTTCTTCTGAGGATTCTCTCTGGTTAGTAACTAGAGACGAGATGGTTAAACATTGTCACATGGTATCATAAAGTTTGATGTATCGTTTGTATTTCTGTTATAGACCTAGCGATGTATTGCAAAAATTCATTACTGTTTCAGGTTCATCCAAAAATCAAGCAGCTCACGAGGAGTCAGGCATTTGAAGACCACTCTCCTCCACCAGAACAACAATGTTCCCACAGCAGCCCCGACTTAACGCCAACCAATGGAGTCTACTTAAAAACACAGGTCTGTTTCATTAGCATCGACAAAATGCTGATTTTGTAAATCATTCTCGCACAATTATGAAAATATTCATTGATCTAAACAAGTGTATACTGCTTTACTGTCATACAGAGATGTGTGTCATTTGATTAAACTTTGATGTTTAATTATTTTTCCGATCTGACATGAAAAGGTATGGGGTCATGCACCTGCCTGCCCTTGTGGGTTTTTGCTGGGGACTCTGGTGTCCTCCCACATCAAGACCCCCTTCACACTAATATCCAGGCATAACAGAGAAATAATATGAGTTGATAAAACATGTTTTGCATTTGTTGTAAAATAAATAAACTTTAGAATTTTTTTTTCCCCCAGTCTTGACTTGTCAACAGGGTTCTTGCCTCGCAGGCTTAAACATGCTGAATGAAACTAAAGATAAAAACTGACCCTATTCTAGCTCTGCAAAAGTGGTTTATGTGAATTTTTAATCCAAATGAACTGTCTGTTTGTTTAAGGTCAGGCATATGGCGGGGCCTTTGTTGACCTGTCAGTGTTCTAGTTTTTGGTCTAATTATATCATCCATTTTCCTATTGAATTGGATTTATTTGAGCATGAGGCCATACCAGTCACTTGATTGTGTTTCTAGTGTGATACAGATCAGGCTGGTAATCATATCATTGTCTTTGTAGACATCGAAGGGGACGTTAGAGAAGACTGGATCACAGAGTTCTGAGGCAGGTACCTCATCCAGTTGGTCACGAGGTATGTGTCTCTGTGTCTATACACACAACATCTTATAGCCTGACAGGGCAGCTTGTTGGAAAGCTCATCTTACTACATATGTAAATCATTAAAACATCAGATAAAAATTCAAGTGCTTGTGAGTTTTTACAGTTAATCTGTATGAATTCTTATTTCTGTTCTTCTAGTAGTGGTACCGCATCTGTTGTCCGTCAATCAACTTTTCTTTCAAAATCTTACTCCTTCTGAACAGCTGATTATATATCAACCAAATATGTGCTATCAAACTTCCTTGGAACAGCAAATAAAATACTGTAAAATGGGAGGATTGTGGTCCCCTTGGCACAGATAGGTGGGGCTCCAAAAACAAAAGGGAATATGGACATGATAAGGGGTTTGAACTAATTTGGCAGGGAACTGTCATTGACCAAGGGGCATAGCAAATTAGTCTTTAAAAGACTACTTCTTCAGTATGGATGAAGGAATTTTGACCTAATTTAGCAGGGAACATCCTCAATGCAAGAGAATGCAACAATGTATAAATTTAATGAAGGTCATCTAGGTGTCCAAAAGAGGAAATAGGAGTTAATGCGTCAAAAGACTTCTCCTTGAATATGGGTAAATGGATGTTGACCTATACCCCTATAGGCCAAGGTGTTTACATCTTTGTATAAAAAGAAAAAGTTTGGCTTTAATTTCAAAACAGTATTCCTTAAATACAAGTTTAGGGATTTCAACATTATTCAATGTAAGATCTGGATATGATCATTATAGGCTCTGGATTTGCTGATAATAGCATTCCAGAGAAGCAGTTCAGATCTAATTGGCCTTTTAGATTTGCACTAACCGTACAGTTGATGATGTAACTTTCACCAGTTATTTATGGTTAATAAAAGACGTGACTTTCCTCTACAGATTCCAGTCTAGATAAAGGGACATATAAAGATTCCACAGGCATTAACCTGGAAGACTTCATCAGAAAGACCATGAACAAAACCCCCAAAGACAGAAACATGCTCCTCAAACTGGAGACCGACCTAACCAATTTCATTAATGAACCAAAGTAAGTACTGTTCTCATAGCAGGACAGTAGTGTAGAAGTTTGTCAAATTGAGCTTGGTGCATGTTAGAATTACGTGAAAAATTGTTCACAGTTTTGTATGTAACCCTTAGCTTTAGTACTGATTCGTACCCTTGTCAGACGATGTATAACCTTCAATGAGCATAGAAGGAGTAACACTCGTTTCTTATGAGTATTTTAAAAGGTTTATTGTGTTTCAATTTTCCTAACAGATTAACATTTAAATTTATGGCTGAACTCTACTTTAACATTGCTGTAATAAAGCATCCTTTCTCCATCATCTCTGTATGACCCTTGTATCATTTCTGTTTGCAGGCACCATTACCTCAAATTTCCACAGATGTCCTCATATGATCGTATGTTAGTTCATCGTATTGCTGCCTTTTTTGGCCTTGACCACAACGTAGACCAGACTGGAAAGTGTGTCATAGTGAACAAAACCTCCAACACCCGAGTGTAAGTATTCTGTCTGTCATAGTGAACAAAACCTCCAACACCCGAGTGTAAGTATTCTGTCTGTCATAGTGAACAAAACCTCCAACACCCGAGTGTAAGTATTCTGTCTGTCATAGTGAACAAAACCTCCAACACCCGAGTGTAAGTATTCTGTCTGTCATAGTGAACAAAACCTCCAACACCCGAGTGTAAGTATTCTGTCTGTCATAGTGAACAAAACCTCCAACACCCGAGTGTAAGTATTCTGTCTGTCATAGTGAACAAAACCTCCAACACCCGAGTGTAAGTATTCTGTCTGTCATAGTGAACAAAACCTCCAACACCCGAGTGTAAGTATTCTGTCTGTCATAGTGAACAAAACCTCCAACACCCGAGTGTAAGTATTCTGTCTGTCATAGTGAACAAAACCTCCAACACCCGAGTGTAAGTATTCTGTCTGTCATAGTGAACAAAACCTCCAACACCCGAGTGTAAGTATTCTGTCTGTCATAGTGAACAAAACCTCCAACACCCGAGTGTAAGTATTCTGTCTGTCATAGTGAACAAAACCTACAACACCCGAGTTTAAGTATTCTGTCTGTCATAGTGAACAAAACCTCCAACACCCGAGTGTAAGGATTCTGTCTGTCATAGTGAACAAAACCTCCAACGCCCGAGTGTAAGTATTGTGTCTGTCATAGTGAACAAAACCTCCAACACCCAAGTGTAAGTATTCTGTCTGTCATAGTGAACGAAACCTCCAACACCCGAGTGTAAGTATTCTGTGTGTCATAGTGAACAAAACCTACAACACCCGAGTGTAAGTATTCTGTCTGTCATAGTGAACAAAACCAAAGTTTCCTAGAGAGATAAGGTAATCTGATGGAGATCTTCCGACTAGAAAAACTACCATGGAAATTTCTTGCAATGATGATGATTCCATATGCTTGGAAGAGAACATCCACATGAAAAAAGAATATCTGCTAGTTTGTAGAATGTCAAAACTCTGGAATGGATATACAAACATAGAAGCTTTTCTGAGAGCACACCCAGAACTAGACATGACAGAACATGCTACCATACTGTACCATTGCCAAACACAATCTGGATCTGTCGCATCAAAACATATCACCAATTCAGACTCAATCAGCAGAATAAAGAATACTCCAAAAGGATCAAGACATTGACTGGGAAGACATTCTTCAAATACTCATTCAGGAAGCTGGATCAGGTTGTGAAACATTGTCAAGGTTATGTAGATGGCAGCACTATCCAAGTCAGTCGTCAGTGTCAAGGTTATATAGATGGCAGCACTATCCAAGTCAGTCGTCAGTGTCAAGGTTATGCAGATGGCAGCACTATCCAAGTCAGTCGTCAGTGTCAAGGTTATGCAGATGGCAGCACTATCCAAGTCAGTCGTCAGTGTCAAGGTTATGTAGATGGCAGCACTATACAAGTCAGTCGTCAGTGTCAAGGTTATGTAGATGGCAGCACTATCCAAGTCAGTCCTCGGCACCATGTCCTGTACACATTCCTTTGAGCAACAGAAATTGTTTTGATCAATTTTCAGCTGTATGTAGAATAAATCAAATGGTGGTATTGAGAGGTAGAAAGTTAATTATAGTGTCAGCTATGTCCAAAAGAGGAACAGTGTTTGAATGGCTATTCCTACCCCCTATAAGTGTCCCACCTTTTGTGGTAGTGGGTAAGGTGGATTGTTTATTCTATGCCTTCCCCCGTCATACAGAGCATAACACATTTGAAAAGTCGTTGATGTTAAACTAACAATAATATACATTGATAGTAAACTAACAATAATACACATTGATAGTAAACTGACAATAATACACATCGATAGTAAACTTGTAATACTAAACATTGATAGTAAACTGACAATACTACACATTGATAGTAAACTGACAACACTACACATTGAAAGAAAGCTAACAATACTACACATTGATAGTAAACTGACAATAATATACATTGATAGTAAACTGACAATAATACACATCGATAGTAAACTTGTAATACTAAACATTGCTAGTAAACTGACAATACTTCACATTGATAGTAAACTGACAATAATACACATTGATAGTAAACTGGCAATAATATACATTGATAGTAAACTGACAATAATATACATTGATAGTAAGCTTATAATACTACACATTGATAGTAAACTGACAATAATATACATTGATAGTAAACTGACAACAATATACATTGATAGTAAACTAACAATAATACACATTGATAGTAAACTGACAATAATACACATTGATAGTAAACTGACAATAATACACATTGATAGTAAACTGACAATAATATACATTGATAGTAAACTGACAATACTACACATTGATAGTAAACTGACAATAATACACATTGATAGTAAACTGACAATACTACACATTGATAGTAAACTGACAATAATACACATTGATAGTAAACTGACAATAATACACATTGATAGTAAACTGACAATAATATACATTGATAGTAAACTGACAATAATATACATTGATAGTAAACTGACAATAATACACATTGATAGTAAACTGACAATAATACACATTGATAGTAAACTGACAATAATACACATTGATAGTAAACTGACAATAATACACATTGATAGTAAACTGACAATAATATACATTGATAGTAAGCTTATAATACTACACATTGATAGTAAACTGACAATAATAAACATTGATAGTAAACTAACAATATACATTGATAGTAAACTGACAATACTACACATTGATAGTAAACTGACAATAATATACATTGATAGTAAACTGACAACAATATACATTGATAGTAAACTGACAATACTACACATTGATAGTAAACTGACATTAATATGCATTGATAGTAAACTGACAATAATACACAATGATAGTAAACTAACAATACTACACATTGATAGTAAACTGACAATGCATATTAATGTCAGTTTACTATCAATTTATATTGTTAGTTTACTATCAATGTGCATAATTGCCAGTTTATTATCAATGTGTAGTATCGTCAGTTTACTATCATTGTGTATTATTGATAGTAAACTGGCAATAATATACATTGATAGAAAACTGACAATACTACACATTGATAATAAACTGACAATAATATACATTGAAAGTAAACTGACAATAATATACATTGAGAGTAAACTGACAATAACACACAATGATAGTAAACTGACAATGCATATTAATGATAGTAAACTAAGAATACTACACATTGATAGTAAACTGACAATACTACACATTGATAATAAACTGACAATTATACACATTGATAGTAAACTGACAATAATATACATTGATAGTAAACTGACAATACTACACATTGATAGTAAACTGACAATAATACACATTGATAGTAAACTGACAATACTACACATTGATAGTAAACTGACAATAATACACATTGATAGTAAACTTACAATAATATGCATTGATAGTAAACTGACAATAATATACATTGATAGTAAACTGTCAATACTACACATTGAAAGTAAACTGACAATACTACACATTGATAGTAAACTGACAATACTACACATTGATAGTAAACTGTCAAAACTACACATTGATAGTAAACTGACAATACTACACATTGATAGTAAACTGACAATAATACACATTGATAGTAAACTTACAATAATATGCATTGATAGTAAACTGACAATACTACACATTGATAGTAAACTGACAATAATACACATTGATAGTAAACTGACAATACTACACATTGATAGTAAACTGACAACACTACACATTGATAGTAAACTAACAATAATACACATTGATAGTAAACTGACAATAATACACATTGATAGTAAACTGACAATTATATACATTGATAGTAAACTAACAATAATATACATTGATAGTAAACTAGTAATACTACACGTTAATTCATTTCATTAATTCACAATAACTCATACTACAAGTACATTTTGATAACAGTCAACAGAGACCCATTCAAAATGAAGCATATATGAAGAGGGTATTGGTCAAACAATCGGAATATGAATTACAGAGAACCGAGGAAATACACCAGACTTTAATATACAACAGTTATTGGATAGTGGTTATTGTATACTGGGAGTGCAGAACACATTTCCTGGTCTCGCTGTTTTTGTAAGAAGAATCATAGCAAGAGAAAGTATGCTAGTGCAAATTGAATGTGATAGTATTTTATGTGGGAGGGAAGGCAGTTAGTAGATTACATTAGATAGTGATCTTGGCTGACACGCTCAGGACTTAAAAGCCTTCTTCATAAATCTGTATTTATAGACAGAAGTGGGCTGACATAGTTTGTTGGTAATTGTGTGGGAGGGCCTATAAATAACACAGCGTTATGTCACTAGGCTGGCAGATTGAAAACACCTGTAATGTAGGTATTAAAAGTAACTAACCAAGTGTGTAGAGTGATCACTGTAGGGGACTGGCACTGTCAGGGAATAATCAGACTCACCATTGTAGGAGATAGGCACATTGTTGTAGGAGAATGTTGTGTATCAGGAGGGCAGAGTAAATAATCAGGCTCACCACTGTAGGGGATAGGCATGTTGTTATAGAGGTATGTTGTGTACCAGGAGGGAAGAGTAAATAATCAGGCTCCCCACTGTTGGGGATAGGCATTGTGTTATAGAGGAATGTTGCGTCGCAGTAGGGCATAGTAAATAATCAGGCTCACCGCTGTAGGGGATAGGCACGTTGTTGTAGGGGAATTTTGTTTCCCAGGAGGGTAGAGTAAATAATCAGGCTCTCCACTGTAGGGGATAGGCCTGTTGTTATAGGGGAATGGTGTGTACCAGGAGGGCAGAGGAAATAATCAGGCTCACCCCTGTAGGGGATAGGCATGTTGTTATAGAGGAATGTTGCGTCGCAGTAGGGCATAGTAAATAATCAGGCTCTCCACTGTAGGGGATAGGCCTGTTGTTATAGGGGAATGGTGTGTACCAGGAGGGCAGAGGAAATAATCAGGCTCACCGCTGTAGGGGATAGGCACGTTGTCGTAGGGGAATGTTGTTTCCCAGGAGGGGAGAGTAAATAATCAGGCTCTCCACTGTAGGGGATAGGCCTGTTGTTATAGGGGAATGTTGTCTACCAGGAGGGTAGGGTAAATAATCAGGCTCACCAGTGTAGGGGATAGGCACATTGTTATAGGGGAATGTTGTCTACCAGGAGGGTAGGGTAAATAATCAGGCTCACCGCTGTAGGGGATAGGCACGTTGTTGTAGGGGAATGGTGTTTCCCAGGAGGGTAGAGTAAATAATCAGGCTCACCCCTGTAGGGGATAGGCATGTTGTTATAGAGGTATGTTGTGTACCAGGAGGGTAGAGGAAATAATCAGGCTCACCGCTGTAGGGGATAGGCACTTTGTTGTAGGGGAATGTTGTTTCCCAGGAGGAGAGAGGAAATAATCAGGCTCACCACTGTGGGGGATAGGCATGTTGTTATAGAGGTATGTTGTGTACCAGGAGGGGAGAGTAAATAATCAGGCACACCACTGTAGGGGATACATAGTTTGTTGGTAATTGTGTGGGAGGCCCTATAAATAACACAGCGTTATGTCACTAGGCTGGCAGATTGAAAACACCTGTAATTTAGGTATTAAAAGTAACTAGCCAAGTGTGTAGAGTTTTCACTGTAGGGGACTGGCACTCACAAGGAATAATCATTCTCACCATTGTAGGAGATAGGCACCTTCTTGTCGGAGCATGTTGTGTATCAGGAGAGCAGAGTAAATAATCAGGCTCACCACTGTAGGGGATAGGCACATTGTTATAGGGGAATGTTGTGTACCAGGAGGGTAGAGTAAATAATCAGGCTCACCACTGTAGGGGATAGGCACATTGTTATAGGGGAATGTTGTGTACCAGGAGGGAAGAGTAAATAATCAGGCTAACCACTGTAGGGGATAGGCACATTGTTATAGGGGAATGTTGTGTAACAGGAGGGCAGAGTAAATAATCAGGCTCACCACTGTAGGGGTTAGGCATGTTGTTATAGAGGAATGTTGTGTACCAGGAGGGCAGAGTAAATAATCAGGCTAACCACTGTAGGGGATAGGCACATTGTTATAGGGGAATGTTGTGTACCAGGAGGGCAGAGTAAATAATCAGGCTCACCACTGTAGGGGATAGGCATGTTGTTATAGAGGAATGCTGTGTACCAGGAGGGCAGAGTAAATAATCAGGCTAACCACTGTAGGGGATAGGCACATTGTTGTAGGGGAATGTTGTTTCCCAGGAGGGGAGAGTAATAACCAGGCTCACCACTGTAGGGGATAGGCATGTTGTTATAGAGGAATCTTGTGTACCAGGAGGGCAGAGTAAATAATCAGGCTAACCACTGTAGGGGATAGGCACATTGTTGTAGGGGAATGTTGAGTCCCTGGAGGGCAGAGTAAATAATAAGGCTCACCACTGTAGGGGATAGGCACATTGTTGTAGGGGAATGTTGTTTCCCAGGAGGGTAGAGTAAATAATCAGGCTCACCACTGTAGGGGATAGGCATGTTGTTATAGAGGAATGTTGTGTACCAGGAGGGCAGAGTAAATAATCAGGCTAACCACTGTAGGGGATAGGCACATTGTTATAGGGGAATGTTGTGTACCAGGAGGGCAGAGAAATAATCAGGGTCACCACTGTAGGGGATAGGCACGTTGTTGTAGGGGAATGTTGTTTCCCAGGAGGGGAGAGTAAATAACCAGGCTCACCACTGTAGGGGATAGGCATGTTGTTATAGAGGAATGCTGTGTACCAGGAGGGCAGAGTAAATAATCAGGCTAACCACTGTAGGGGATAGGCACATTGTTATAGGGGAATGTTGTGTACCAGGAGGGCAGAGAAATAATCAGGGTCACCACTGTAGGGGATAGGCACTTTGTTGTAGGGGAATGTTGTTTCCCAGGAGGGTAGAGGAAATAATCAGGCTCACCACTGTAGGGGATAGGCACGTTGTTGTAGGGGAATGTTGTTTCCCAGGAGGGTAGAGTAAATAACCAGGCTCACCACTGTAGGGGATAGGCACATTGTTGTAGGGGAATGTTGTTTCCCAGGAGGGTAGAGTAATAACCAGGCTCACCACTGTAGGGGATAGGCATGTTGTTGTAGGGGAATGTTGTTTCCCAGGAGGGCAGAGTTGTTGACCAAACTCACAGTAGAGGGTAGTCACTGTAGGGGAATGTTGTGTATCAGAAGGGCAGAATTGATGAACAGACTCACAGTAGGGGAAAGTTATGGACTAGGAGGGCAGAGTTGTTGACCAGACTCACAGTAGGGGAAAGTCATGGACCAGGAGGACAGAATAGATAACATGGATCATTGTAGGATCTACATTCAACGTCTCAAAAAATATGTGGCCCAGAGAATTTTTCATATACCTTGTTAGTTAGAAAAAAAAATGTTGGCTCAGATATGTTGTAAACTGCAAACATCTTCTCTATAGTTACTTTATGCTTAGAGTAATGATAATGTGTCTGTAACATGCTGGGGTGAAGGACAAACATATTTGTGGAAATGATTGACCTTGACATACCCAGGTCAATGTGTACATTCAACAGCCTGTGTACAGTGTGTAACAGTTAACAGTGTCTGTATCCTGTGCTCCTACTGATAACTCCCAAATTCTTCAATCTCATAACTATACTGGCTCGACACATCACGAGCCTTCAAAGTCTGTAAGTCTCCAGCAGGGTTATTAGGTTTATATGTGCCTTTTTGTATTGTTTCACAACCACCATGTTTGAAGAGGATGTATGGCCTGTGGTGTAAGACAAGTTTCTGGGACCCAGAATATGTGTCAATTTGGTTCCGTATTATACACTCTCTGCACCGCGGTAAATTGGCTTGTTGATACCTCTTATTGCGTGATTTTATGAATTTATTTTGTGATTTGTCTATAAGACTGGAATTCAGAAGTAGTCTATTAGTGACGACAGGCTGTCATCACCTCGGGTTGTCGTTATCATATGTTTTTCTATTTTTCATATCTGCAGACCTGAGTTTAACTTTAAAGAACATGTAGATGCTCGGGACTCTCAGAAAAAAATCACGGGCATTATGAGGAGGATGGGTGTTGGCAGTCTAGATGACAAAGAGGTAATGTGTGTTTATCGTCTCCTGTTTTATCTAGTGTGTGCATAATGACCGGGATCCTATCTCGCCTTCTATCCGAGGTAGTTAAGATACATGGAGAGATTTTTACTCTCGTGAAGAAACTGCATGGACTAGTAAAAGTTTGCCCATTCGCTTACTAGTTGTAAAGGTGTGTTTATAAAACAGCTATAAGCAACGCAAACATCTGAGTAATAATAACACTTTTTAAATGAAAATTTTCACGATATGTATAAAGCTGTAATTTCTTCTGGTTTCAATTTCATCCAAGACGTGTTTTTAGAGTTCTAGGAATGTAAGTTAAGGGTTTAGACATTTTATGTCCTCACCACAGTAGAGGAGTGGCATTAACATACAACATTTGTTTTAGATATTGCATTCAGCTTCATATTTTAGATACTACAACTCCCATATTTATCAAACTATTTATGTAGATAATTCCTTACATCATCATATGACATGGAGGTCCCTGTAACCTATATTTTCCACTTCACTGACTTTGCATTTATCTATATCTATATTTTATAACTTCACATTCTTGTGTGCCTTGATGAGCACAGTGTTGTCTCATTTTGTGACCTTGACCTTTGACCTGTTTTTGTGTTAGATCTGTTATGGTAAAGTACTGCAGCTAGACCGGTTCATGCTAGGAAATCTGCATAACATTTTGTAACTTTGACCTTTGACTGCTGTAGCATAGGTTTACATGTCTTACAGGCACATCAGTGATTTCAAACAATCTATATAGCATCTTATATGGAAAGATATGGTTGCCCTTATTATGTAGATATCAAATGTAACAAGTTTTCAGCAGAAATATCAAAAAATTCAGTTGAACCAACCAAAATGGTAACAATCTCTGTGAATTCAAGTCTGTCAGTACTCTTGCATTTGGGATCTATCAATAAAATTGGGTTTGATCTTTTGTTTTACTGCTTTCTCTGGATGCTTATACAGACTCTGGGGAATATATGTCGCTAGAAAGCGTAAAACATGATAAAAGTATAAAATGTTCACATTAAACTGTTACGCAGTATGTAATATGACATCAGAAGTAATACTGATATGATCACTGATTATAGGGATTGTTTTTGATTGAACAGAGCTACTGTAGAAGTCTAGACAAGCCTATGTTAGGTTCGAAGAAAGCACAATCATTTGAGGAAAGGCAGCAGCAGTATGAGAAAGTACGGCAGAAAATTTTCAGTAGTTGTGACGAGGTAAGTACAAGCATTATGAACCTCGATCTGGTCTTAAGGTTGCAGATCCTTACAGGGATCAGGCTCTAAATATTGTTAAAGTTTCGCACCCAAACAGATTTAATCCATCTCAAGCAGAATTTGTGTAGTCGAAGGGAGATAACTCATCCGAGGTCAAATAAAAGAATAAAATGGTATCTTTGTACATGAATTCTTATGTAATTAGCTGAAATGACATGACATACTTTTTTTTGTAAACTTTTAACATTTTTACTTAAATTACATGACATTCACCGGTGGTGTCATGTTCAGTGAAGTTCAGGGTACAGTTGATGGAATCCTAAAAGATCTGAGGTCCTAATCTAGTCTCTGATAGTCATAAGTAGTGAGTGGTCGGAGACTTAGGAGGAAATCAGGGATTTCCATTGTTATTCCATGTCTAGGGTACCTTTGTTACTTAAGTTTATAAAAGGACAAACTGTCAAACACATTGTAAACAATGGGATTTTTGTTTATCTGTCCAGATCTGTGAGTCATTTACATAGTTACCAATATTTAAATTTCAAAATCTCTGCTACAGTTGTTCACAAGACTGAAGGCTATGGTGAGCAAAGTAAAAACGTTAAGATTATTTGTTAACATCTATTCCTCCCTAGATAATAGATGGAATCTGTATTCAGGAGAGCACTGGTAAAGGCCTAGCCTGTTGTTCAATCTTTTTTGTTTATCATCTTGGAATAAAATTAGTTAAAATAAAATGAATTAGAATCGGTCTAATCCACAAATCATGGAAAGGAGTAGCTAATTTGCCCCAGCTTATGCCTGTTTCAGAGACTAACTAGGATACTGTCTCTGTTTCAGCCTATACATTACACAGAGGAGGAAGCACCGCGCATAATGTAAGTTGGATCAATTGTCTAGAAGTCATAACTGTTTCACTGATACTGTAGTTTGAATTATAAAGCCTTTTTCCTGTGTTTTTATTTCTTTTTGCATTTCCTATGTTTCACCCTTTTTCAAGGGCAGGGAATCCTTCTAGACAATAGCTTTAAAGAATGACTTACAAATGTAAACAAATGAAATGTCAAACTCTGCTTTCAACAGTAAAAGTTAAGTAAAGTTGATTAAAGTTGAATTTTATGACATGTTAATACATTTAGTTACAAATAAAGCAAATACTTTTTTATGTGCTTTGCAGCAAAAAACCAAATCGCCCTTCTAGTCTTAGTAAAAGTAACCACGAGGGACAGCCCTGGAGTAGTACCGACTCAAGTGGGTACGGCACAGATTCATCTGTGTCACGGGCACGAGGCATTCCTAAGGCAAACAGCTTTGGGGGCATGGGTTCTGTGTCCTACAACAATCAGGCCTTAAAATTCCCACACAAGTCTCTCAGCCTGTCTGTAGGTAAGTCACTCAGCCTGTCTGTAGGAAAGGCTCTCAGCCTGTCTGTGGGTAAGTCACTCAGCCTGTCTGTAGGTAAGTCACTCAGCCTGTCTGTAGGTAAGTCCCTCAGCCTGTCTGTAGGTAATTCTCTCAGCCTGTCTGTAGGTAAGCCTCCCAGCCTGTCTGTTGGTAAGTCTCTCAGTGGGTGTGTCTCAGCCTATCTGTAGGTAAGTCCCTCAGCCTGTCTGTAGGTAAGTGTCTCAGCCTGTCTGTACGTAAGTCTCTCAGGCTGTCTGTAGGCAAGTCTCTCAGCCTGTCTGTAGGTCAGTCTCTCAGGCTGTCTGTAGGTAAGTCTCTCAGGCTGTCTGTAGGCAAGTCTCTCAGCCTGTCTGTAGGGAAGTCTCTCAGTGGGTGAGTCTCAGCCTTTCTGTAGGTAAGTCTCTCAGTGGGTGAGTCTCAGCCTGTCTGTAGGTAAATCTCTCACAGCCTGTCTGTAGGTAAGTCTCTCAGTGGGTGAGTCTCAGCCTGTCTGTAGGTAAGTCTCTCAGCCTATCTGTAGGTAAGTTCTCACATTTAGTCTTGCACATCTTAAGTCTCTCGTGTTACTTGGCAACTAAGTTAAAGAATTGTTTGAGCATAGATTACATTGTTTAAAAACGGAATTAAGGGATTGGTAATGTAACCATGTTAGTTTTGAACAGTTTATTCATAAATGTTATGGCCTATTAGGAAAAATCCTATATATACACAAAACCAATATTACCTCCTTGTTATTATTTAGAGTCTTTGTGTGACTACTCTTACAGAGCCATCAAGGAGTCCTATACACAGTGGTATGAGCAGTCCGATGGGTCAGCGTATACTGCCTACAGCTCCGACTCCTCCAGGCAGCCACTCGGACAGCTCGCCTCTCTCACGCTGCAGCTCCTCAGGGCCGGTACAGTCCCCGCTCAGTGCAGGTCATTACATTACAGATTGGACTAGGATCTAGAAAAATAATAAAACGTCTGTCTTCATATTCTCTATGTTTATTTCACCCCTATCCTAATATAAGAGATAAACATATCAGTGTTTTTACCACAGCAAAGAATATTTCAACTCCTTACATTTTGGTAGCAGAAATACCTGTCATCATAGGAAAGTGTTTCTTAATTTTTCAGATGTAACAAATTAATAAAATCTTGGTTGTGATCAGCATATCTCATCTTTACAAATCTGAAGAATAACTTTATGATATGTGATGTTGCTGTTGTTATAGGCTACACTCCAGGGCCTGGCCAGGTGTATTGGGTGGCATCAGATATACGCAACATACCCCCAGGTAGTGTGGTTATTAACCCACAGACAGGCCAGCCCATCTCCAACGCTGATGGCAGTCTGTATCACCACATGCCTGGGCAAGGCCCCACTCCCACGGGCCAGACTGTATACACCTCTCCACAGTACTCCTCAGATGTCTGGACTCCCAGCTCTGTACGTACAAAGCAAATGGTTGTAAAACTTACAAAGTGGTATGACTTCATGTCTCATGACCAAAATAAAATTTCTGTATACCAGTAATGTACTTTGCCATGCATCCTTTTGGATTATTCAAGTTGGGCCATACATGAAAGTCTGTGTCAAATGTCCAGTCTGTCCTGTTACATCCTTATGGATTATTCAAGTTGGGCCATACATGAAAGTCTGTGTCAAATGTCCAGTCTGTCCTGTTATGTGAAATGTGGTTATCTTTGATTCATTTATATTATTGACAAAAGAACTAAAAAAAAACATGGCAAAATTCATACTGTACCAGGTTATTGGGATCCGTGTGTACAGTCTTATCAGTACAATAATGTTATGTAGCAACAAGTAGGAAGCCTTATAGAACACAATAAGGTTCAACTTAGACAGGTTGTCCATATTGAGCTGTTTCTTGTAATGAAATAGTGACAAAGTATCCTTATGCAAACATCACTTTGGAAAACAAACCTGGTTGGAATTTCCTTACCGGGGAAGTAATCCTCGATTGTATTTTACAAAAAGGAGATAACTATTGATGATGTTTATTTAGATAAAGCATGCCTGGCATGTTATACAGTAAAGCTTTTACTGAAGTGGACCCAAATGATGTGTTATTGCTGTTGTTCCATAAAACAATTGTCTGATAATGAGTTATTTGTACAGGAGACTCCAGCAGCAGAGCTGTGTCGCCACCTATCTATGGTAAGCATTAACCAGCCATCACTTGAGAATGTGGAGGAGCCCCCGGGCCAGACTACAGGGCCAGGGATGCAGACCACACAGTACGTGTTGGGGGCCCAGCCCCAGGGACAGGTGCAACAACAGTCTGCACAGGTCGTTCAGGTAGGTGAATTGAGACAAATGTATGCAAGAGATAGCCAGCAGAAATTCATACTACTTAAACCTCTGAAACTTAAAATGACTGTGTTTTTAATATACAACCAGACACAAGGTGCTTGTGATCTTTGTATGGTGTGAACTGTGGTGTCTGTTGTACATCAACTTTTTGTAGGAACTATGTCTTCCAACCTGTGTTGAGATCAAAGGTAAACTTTAGAGCTGCATGTATGGAGATAAGGGTCAAAAGTCAACATAGGCTATCATAGAAAATATGCTTTTAACATCTCCTTGCAAAGTTCCAGGAGGCTCAAGCTCATATATTGGGCAAGTAGCTACCCTGGGTGAAGTGCTATAAAAATTCCTCATTTATATTCCCCTTGACCTGGACACAGATGTCAAAATATGTACAAAAGCGTGAAATTGAAATTCAAAGTGATATTATGACATTTCGCTGCTGAGAGTGAAAAGATCTTGATCAGCATGCAACTTAAATGTTAGAGAAATCGTTCAATGATTAACTTCATGTAGTCTTCAAATAATAGGATTAACTTGTACATTCTAACTGTCCAGGTAAACACTACAGGCCTATTGGACCACTAACTATTTCAAGTTTTAAAGAGTTAAAATGTATGCTGATTATCCTTGAAGCTTAAGACAGATTTTTATTTGCATCATTTGAATTTGTTCACCAACGAATGGTTAAATTTCAATTAGTATCAAATATGTGATATTTCAGACTCAATATTTTCCTGGGGGACAACAGAACATGGCGGGAGCAGTGCGATATATGTACCCTGTGAACTATCAAGTTCAAGGTCAGACCCAACAAGGTCAAGCACACCAAACAGTTGTTGGTATGGACAACCAAAGTTTTCCTCAAACTGGCAACCAGTTTCCACCTCAGGTTGCTGGGACCTACCAGGGGTATCCTGCTAATGGGGCTCCAGGAGCTGCCCCTAATGTAGAACAATTTTCATCAAACATTGCACAGAACACATATCCGGTGATACAGCAGGGGGAGGGTGGTGTACAGACTTTCTCATCGTACCCCTCTCAGTACAGCCAAAATAACTTTGGACAGCAGCCTCAAGGCACAATGTTCTACTCCAATACCACCAATCCCCAAATGGGGACAACAACAGGGTTCCAGTACCAGCAGCAAGGACCTTACCCTGGTCAGGGGAACACAGCGGTGACAATGTCAAACCAAAGTGTCGCCTTACAGAATGTAGCACAGCCCATAGGGCCTGGGGTCCCTTCCCCCGGGCAAGCTAGTGCTGCTACTCCCTCTACACCCCAGTACTTATATTCCACTGTTCCACAGTACCAGGGCTCCACAAGACCAGCCAATCCACAGCTTTTACATTTCCACAATGTACCAGCTGCGGGACAGTCATCACAGAGCATGCCCATGCTTCGAAATATGCAACTCAACATGCAATTTCCTGTACAAGTTACAGCCTTGCAGCAACAGCAGCAGCAGCAGCAGCAGCATCAGCAGCAGCATCAGGGAGGCATGCCCGGCCAGATGACAGTTAGTGCTAAGGGATACCCTGTGGACTCTTCGTTACCCAAAGTGGAGGGTATAGACAATAAGGACTATATCATGAGTGGCCTCTCAAACATTGGCTCGGGTCTCCTGGCTGGTCCACCTAGACCGGCCGCACCCATCATACGGCCCACTACAGGTAGGTTTTTTTCAAAATTCAGAACGAACATATATGGCACAAGTGATATGCAGAGCATAGGTTACAATACCCCCATAAAGAGCTTAAGGGGGAAACTTACTATTGCATTTTGATCAATATTTAATAAAATGATCCCAAGATGATGAGGATTAGAGTGTATACTAAGGAAGGGGCTCACCCCCAGCTCTCTAGTTTGCGGGGCCATGATGGGTCACTTTGTGGAAAAACATTCAAAGGACATAAGGTAATGGTATCCATTTCATGACCAGGCTCACTTTTAGCCTTTCTTAATCTGTTTGCCAGCTGTAATCAACTCTTTGCATCAGAAGGATTTCATTGGAATTGATCTTAATGTTTCAGATGTGCGCTTTTTAGGACAAGCAGGATTTCACCCACAGATACAAGTTCCATTTCCATCGCAGCCTTTGTCTCATCAACCACAGAAAATTAGGTAACATGACCACTTTATTCTAATCTACAAAATTTATATTACATATGTGCTGAGTTTTTCTCAGAAGCTGAATTGTCCACAACAAGGTTGGACTAGAGCTCTGACCACCAAGTTAATGGAAGAATGAGTTCTAACATGTGGTAACACCATCAAAACATTTGTTGTTTGTGTCATCCAAAATGTATTTGTTGAAAGTTGTTTGGTAAAAATCACAGGTTATGGTACACTACAGCTTGATGAATCAGTAGAGCAAGTGACAGTTATCTCCCTTAGGCCTCAAATAGACACCACAGCATGGTTATGCCCCTTTATGTATTCCAAAATTTACAATTTCATTCTGTACTTCAAAATTATTTGTCAGTCTAATGTTATTTTATTTAAACAAAAAGTTTCTGAAATTGGAGTATATTAGGTAGTTGTTCTCTTTTAAGTAGTTGTTATCTGTACAATCTTATTGAAACAAGTATTCCCCTGTCAGATTTCATTCCAGTTATTTGAAACCTGATATGGTTTATATGTCCTTGATAATACTTTGGGTTTTATTAAAACTTGGAAGGATAGCATCCAGGACTAATTATCAGCTATTTTTGTATTGTAATTTTAAAATACAACACTATCATATAATTGCTGTGTCTGGCATGTGGAATCTGTGTATGGAACCTTGTGTACACATCCAGCTCCCGGTGACTTTTATGTAACCATAGTAACAATAAAACATAGTAGGTGGGATAATAATCTCGTGGCCAGTTGGTATTTTTTAAGCTGATTTGAAATCCAAGATAGCCACTTGTTCTCTGATTGCCGGAGTCATTTGTAACTATTTCTGAACTTTCACCTGACCAATGGTAAAAAGAATTGATCTGAATAATGTTCCATTGATCTGAATAATGTTCCAATGATCTTCAACAGATCACGGCTGTTTTTTATGCCCTCACCATAAAATCCCCCATGTCCGTCCCGCCCCTTCCTACCCCATCCCGTCAAACATCAAACACTGAAGCTAATTTCACATGGTGATGGGGGTATTTATGTCTAACAGACATTTTCTAGTTTTTAGGTCACCTGAGCTTTAGCTCAAGTGACCTATTGCTATCCGTTTTCGTCCGTCGTCATCCGTCGTCCGTCGTCCGTTAACATTTTACATTTCAAACTTAAAGTCAAGTTCTGCTGGGCCGATTGAACTGAAAGTTGGTAGGAATGATCGCCTCATGGTCCTGACAAAGTGTTGTTATTTTTCGGGTCGATCAGAAATCCAATATGGCCGCCACGGCCGCCATTTTGAAAACCTATTTCAAACTTAAAGTCAAGTTCTGCTGGACCGATTGAACTGAAAGTTGGTAGGAATGATCGCCTCATGGTCCTGACAAAGTGTTGTTATTTTTCGGGTCGATCAGAAATCCAATATGGCCGCCACGGCCGCCATTTTGAAAACCTATTTCAAACTTAAAGTCAAGTTCTGCTGGACCGATTGAACTGAAAGTTGGTAGGAATGATCGCCTCATGGTCCTGACAAAGTGTTGTTATTTTTCGGGTCGATCAGAAATCCAATATGGCCGCCACGGCCGCCATTTTGAAAACCTATTTCAAACTTAAAGTCAAGTTCTGCTGGACCGATTGAACTGAAAGTTGGTAGGAATGATCGCCTCATGGTCCTGACAAAGTGTTGTTATTTTTCGGGTCGATCAGAAATCCAATATGGCCGCCACGGCCGCCATTTTGAAAACCTATTTCAAACTTAAAGTCAAGTTCTGCTGGACCGATTGAACTGAAAGTTGGTAGGAATGATCGCCTCATGGTCCTGACAAAGTGTTGTTATTTTTCGGGTCAATCAGAAATACAATTTGGCTGCCATGGCCGCTATTTTGCTACTAAGTTCTAATAGGCCGATCTCACTTAAAATTGGTCTAGGAATGATCAGCTCATGGTCCTGACAAAGTTAAGTTAACATTATACTATTTTTTACTCAAATTGGTACATATTTCAACAACAAAAATAAATACTGTAGACTCAGGTGACCGTTTTGGCCCATGGGCCTCTTGTTTGGGGGGTGGGGGTTGATTTGCAGTTCAAAAATTCAAAAATGGCTGCCCTGTACTTTGAATAACAAAGACATTTGTTTATTTTCTGACTTATCCAGAATTCCAACAGATCGGATACCAAACATGGTACAAATATCTTGTGATTATTTTGAATAATAAGAAATCACAAAAGGCTATGGTGTCCAGTAAGAAGACAAAGTTATCTTCTAGTCCAAATAAGGAAAGATACAGGTGAACAATAAAGGCCTGATAGGTCTCTTGTAATAAGGTCTTCTCTTGTGTGTGTTCTTCAGTATGTTGTGTTTTTCAGGGCAAGTACTGGACAATCAGGCTCCAAGCAACAGCGACTGAAGAAAAGCAAAAGTAAGGAAGGACAAGATGGATCTCTACATAGCCAGGACAGCACAGAACTACAGCAAAGTAAGGGTTAGATCATCTTGTATTTTTAGGGTCATGGTCATAGCTTACATCACAAAGCTACAGTAAAGTAAGGCCTAGGTCATCTTGTATCTTTAGAGGTCATGGTCATAGCTTACATCACCGATCTACAGCAAAGTAAGGGTTAGATCATCTTGTATCTTTAGAGGTCATGGTCATAGCTTACATCACAAAGCTACAGTAAAGTAAGGCCTAGGTCATCTTGTATGTTTAGAGGTCAAGGTCATATCTTACATCACCGATCTACAGCAAAGTAAGGGTTAGATCATCTTGTACGTTTAGAGGTTAAGGTCATAGCTTACATCACAGAACTACAGTAAAGTAAGGCCTAGATCATCTTGTATGTTTAGAGGTCATGGTCATAGCTCACATCACAGAACTACAGTAAAGTAAGGCCTAAATCATCTTGTATGTTTAGAGGTCAAGGTCATATCTAACATCACAAAACTACAGCAAAATAGGGGCTAGATCATCTTGTATGTTTAGAGGTCATGGTCATAGCTCACATCACAGAACTACAGTAAAGTAAGGACTAAATCATCTTGTATGTTTAGAGGTCAAGGTCATAGATTACATCACCAAACTACAGCAAAGTAAGGACTAGATCATCTTTTATGTTTAGAGGTCATGGTCATAGCTCACATCACAGAACTACAGTAAAGTAAGGCCTAGATCATCTTGTACGTTTAGAGGTCATGGTCATAGCTCACATCACAGAAATACAGTAAAGTAAGGCCTAGATCATCTTGTACGTTTAGAGGTCATGGTCATAGCTCACATCACAGAAATACAGTAAAGTAAGGCCTAGATCATCTTGTACGTTTAGAGGTCATGGTCATAGCTCACATCACAGAAATACAGTAAAGTAAGGCCTAGATCATCTTGTATGTTTAGAGGTTGTGGTCATATCTTACATCACCGAACTACAGTAAAGTAAGGGCTAGATCATCTTGTAAGTTTAGAGGTCAAGGTCATATCTTACATCACAGAACTACAGTAAAGTAAGGCCTAGAGCATCTTGTACGTTTAGAGGTCATGGTCATAGTTTACATCACAGAACTACGGTAAAGTAAGGCCTAGGTCATCTTGTATGTTTAGAGGTCATGGTCATAGCTCACATCACAGAACTACAGGAAAGTGAGGGCTAGATCATCTTGTATGTTTAGAGGTTGGGGTCATATCTTACATCCCAGAACTACAGGAAAGTAAGGACTAGATCATCTTGTACGTTTAGAGGTTGTGGTCATATCTTACATCACGGAACTACAGTAAAGTAAGGGCTTGATCATTTTTTACGTTTAGAGGTCAAGGTCATAGATTACATCACCAAACTACAGCAAAGCAAGGCCTAGGTCATCTTGTATGTTTAGAGGTTGTGGACCTATCTTACATCACCGAACTACAGTACAGTAAGGGCTTGATCATTTTTTACGTTTAGAGGTCAAGGTCATAGATTACATCACCAAACTACAGCAAAGCAAGGCCTAGGTCATCTTGTATGTTTAGAGGTTGTGGTCATATCTTGCATCACAGAACTACAGCTAAGTAAGGCCTAGATCGTCTTGTATGTTTAGAGGTTGTGGTCATATCTTACATCACCGAACTACAGTAAAGTAAGGGCTTGATCATCTTGTACGTTTAGAGGTCAAGGTCATATCTTACATCACAGAACTACAGTAAAGTAAGGCCTAGATCATCTTGTACGTTAAGGGGTCAAGGTCATATCTTACATCACAGAACTACAGGAAAGTAAGGCCTAGATCATCTTGTACGTTTAGAGGTCATGGTCATAGCTCACATCACAGAACTAAGGCAAAGTAAGGGCTAGATTATCTTGAATGTTTAGAGGACATGACCATAGCTCACATCACAGAACTACAGCAAAGTAAGGGCTAGATCATCTCATATGTTTACAGGTCATGGCCATATCTTACATCATAGAACTAAGGCAAAGTAAGGCCTAGATCATCTTGTATGTTTAGAGGTTGTGGTCATATCTTACATCACAGAACTACAGGAAAGTAAGGGCTAGATCATCTCATATGTTTACAGGTCATGGCCATATCTTACATCATAGAACTAAGGCGAAGTAAGGCCTAGATCATCTTGTATGTTTAGAGGTTGTGGTCATATCTTACAGCACAAAACTACAGTAAAGTAAGGCCTAGATCATCTTGTACGTTTAGAGGTTGTGGTCATATTTTACATCACAGAACTACAGGAAAGTAAGGGCTAGATCATCTTGAATGTTTAGAGGACATGACCATAGCTCACATCACAGAACTACAGCAAAGTAAGACCTAGGTCATCTTGTATGTTTAGAGGTCATGGCCATAGCTTACATCACAAAGCTACAGTAAAGTAAGGCCTAGGTCATCTTGTATGTTTAGAGGTCATGGTCATACATGCAGCTCCAGCACAGAGTTACAGCAATGTAAATATAAATTCATCTTGTAGAGGTCATACGCAGAGGTCAGTAAACCACAGGATTGTCAAAGTAAGGGTAGGGTCATCTTGTAGCTTTAATTAGCAGTCAGTCAACCAAAACCTTATATTAGTGATTGTAAAGGTCACGGTAAGCTAACCAATGATTGTGGTGATTGGTAACCCAATGACTAACTGTCCTGATTGTCTGTGTTGTAGGTAATGTAGTGGAGGTGTATGATCTACCTGGTGGGCTAAAGCGATCAGAAGCAGAAATCTATCTGAAGGATTTGGTGACATGCGGAGCACAAGTCCAGTTTATAAATATGGACGGTAGTCATGGTGACCACCCGAATCTGACTATTTCTAACTGTAAGAAAGTTTTAGCAATATTCCCAAACTCTTCAGTGGCGATGAGTGCCCTTCAAAATCACGGGAGTGGTAGCAACAGTAGCCGTTTCAAGCTCCAGCACATCAGCGCCACCACAATATCATCAACGGGGGCAGACCACTCTAATATAGGCGTCAAAAGTTAATTTAAAAATTGTTTAAGTCAATTCTATTGTATTTTTATATGAGAAGTTTTAAGATATTTTATTGTGAAGAGCAGAATATTAAAGACATGAAGAGAACTATTTAAACTACAGAGGTGAAATACTATGTGTTCTTATGAGAATATTTAACAATGAATCATCTCGCCCCTATACTAGATTGTCCAACTTTCTGTGCCATGAAAACTATTGATTTTGTCTGTTTCTTTGGTAGACTTTACATAGTGAACCTTTGGGTTGAAGCATCTGGTCGGTATAATTGTGCTTTTTCACTTAGGCTCCTTTTTATATTAATATATTATACGACTTATTTCAATCTGCTGTGTCACTTCTTTTCTTTTTTTTTGTTATTTTTTTTTAAAGGATTTTTTGCTACCTTTTTACATGTTGTATGTATGTGATGATAGGGGAGGCGACTGTGCTGACTGATCTTCAGTGAATTCAGCTTTATTGCCACAGGCGTATGTCAGCCAGCCAACAGTCAAGTCTATATTAATTTATTACTTCTTTCAAACAAATGTTCTGTATTATAAGATCGGAGGTCGTATATTTACACAGAGATAAACTATACCAATGCTATATTCAAAACAAAGAATAAATGCTTTTCACTTGAGCAGTATTGTAGAGTCCAATGCTGTCATCTACATCTCCAGCACACATGTTGGTAGGATTGTGTCTTGAGGTAAAGAGTACCATCAAATTCAAATATGTTATAACCATTGGCACTTTTATGGAATATTTGTTTTAGAAATTTTCTTTAAACTATTTCCTTATCGAGTTTTTGTTTTTTCAATTACTTAGTTTTTTTTTCTTCTTCAATTTTGAGTATATGAAAACAGAAATGTAATAATAAAACATAAGAAAAACAGGAATTCCAAGGGCAAACTTGGAGTATTCCGCCGCACTTTACTGCTATTCAGGAATTTTGTAAGTGTCAAAATGAGATATGAACACCTTACCAAAGGTTAAACATCTAATACAGAAAAAACTCCTTTATGTTTTCGTTTTATCTTCTATAAAAACAGCTGTGAAGCGGAACTCTTCTTCACAGTTAAAACTGATGCAGTTGTGAGCTTTTCTTTAATTTGTAAAGCTTGAGGTACGGACTAGGTGTCTGTGCCTATGGTACAGACTAGGTATCTGTGCCTGTGGTACAGACTAGGTATCTGTCCCTATTGTTACCTGTATCTGTCATGTTGATACAGTGGTGTATTATGATAGATACTACTAGTCAAACATGTCGTCGTAGATACTGGTTTCGTCTCTTTCTACTTTTCTACTGTCAACTTTATATTTTTCTATTGTGAGAAAAGGTCAATGTCAGCAGTACTTGTATCTAGGTGGCAGGCAAGATTTGATTAACAACACTGACCATGTCTGAGGAATAGTACTTCGTGCCTAGGTAGGGGTATGCCACTCTGTCCCTCTCGGATACATGTTATAGTATGCCTAGTAAGGGCTAGGCCACGCTGTCCCTCTCAGAGAAATGTTACAATATGCCTACAATATGCCTAGGAAGGGGTATGCCACTCTGTTCCTCTGAGAGAAATGTTACAGTATGCCTAGTAAGGGCTAGGCCATGCTGTCCCTCTCAGAGAAATATTACAATATGCCTAGGAAGGGGTATGCTAATTTGTTTATGAAGTCGGTAAACAATCTATGCTCCTGAGTATTGAAAGTATCTACTTGCCTTTTCTTATAAAAATAGAGAGAATTATTCCTGGATACTAAGACTTTGCAGTGTGTGAGACACACTCTGTAAAGACAGAGAAGCCACATGAAGGCTTACATATGTTTGTAGAATGTTTCTACCTTGTTTTTCTGTGTACTTCTGTTCAGAGTTTATTTATACACATGTTACAATCCTTATAAGTGTTGTCAGAACAAAAACAGGAAACACAGTAGGTGTAGATTTGTAAGAATTAACTGTTAAGTGTCTTACATTGAAATGTGTTCAGGTGTTCAGCAGACCTCGGTGTGTGTGCAGTCGTATTATCCCTTACCGGGAGCAGCACACGTTTACATATATGGGGCAATATCTGTCAAAATAGCATGTAGGATTTTAGAATTAAACTTGAAACATTCACATAGATGTTTATAGTGAGATTGAATGATGTTAGTTTGCATTGACCTGAAGAATACCTACTAGACTGTATAGCTATCACCTGATGTGTGTAATGTGTTGGTGAGAACGGGCTAGCTCAAGTGGCCTGAGGTAGCAGGACTTGATAAACTAAAACAAATTCAATGAAGCCAGACACACAATGTATTGGGTCTTGTGTAGCCATATCTTATTTAATTCAGTAGTACATCATGACAGAAATTTTGTAGGTATGAAAAACGATTGTTTCAGATTAAGATAGAAAAATGGAATTTGACAGAGAAACATGAGTCGTAAAGAAGAATGAAAGCGTGAATGTGAATTAATTTGTATGTCTTGTGTGTGCTTGGGAATATAGTGTTGTAGCAAACTTTACATTAGAAACATTGCAGAATGGTGTCACGCGTGTACACAACTTTGGGGAAAAGATGTACTGAAGGGGAGATAACTTTGTGGAGGCAATCAGTCGTATAAAGCATTAAAGGGGTGGCAGTATTGTGTTAGACAAGTTGTATGTAAGAGAGATAACTCTTGGATGTTAGTGTTAGGGATTAGTTGTTAAACCATTCAAATGTCTCCAAGGGGATGATCACCTCGTTGAGAGATTTCTAAGGGGGTTCAAAGTGCATTACAGCTTTTTGGTTAACATGTATGCCCCAATGTTAGTATGACAGATAATTGAATGGTAATCGTGAAGGGGGAACAACTCATGGTAAGGTACAAGCACATTCATTATTGGAGGAAGAGACACTGATTTCTTCCACACAGAATGCTTGCTCTTTTGTTATAAATATTTTTGCAATACATGTATCAGGAAATTGTATAAAGGAAACAACTGAGGTATTATATTTGTGTTATTTATTTATTCTAATGTTGTCCTTGGGAAGTTTGACCTGATTACTTAATATTTTTTTCTAAATTAACAATTTTTCTGCACAGTGGACAACACAGTGCCTCTTAAACATAGCTTGTGCCAAAATTATTTACTGGTCATGCAATATTTTCCATCACAATTTGAAATTCAGGAGTGCATGCTCTTTTAATGAAGAAATGATTAAAATACTGCTATGGAAGAATGAAGGAAAGAAATGTGCTTGTATTTTACCTCCTGTGTATGAGCATGTGAGGCGTGTTGTGGTATGACAGGGGAGCCAGCTCTTGTGTGTTTGTGCAAGAGATGGGTTGAATGAAGGGGAGATAACTGTTGTGTGTGAGAGGTTATGTGTGTACCAGTTATGTAATATCTAACCACATATCATAGAAACAAGTTGACACTAACACTGTGGCTGAGGATTGCTCTCTGTAGTCATGGCGGGATAAACCCCAAGGGAAGACAGTCATCAATGTGTCAGTCAAGTGTATTCATGGAACTCTCAAGCTGGAACCACGATAATGACAGAATTTTTAGACTTAAGTCAAACTTTCAATATTGCAAAAAAAAAAATTTGAGTTCCATATCCAAATGTGATTATCTATATGTGTGTATATACATATTATAAATCCAAACTATTTCACCAACTGTTTGTCTGATTTCTGTGACAAATATTGGACCTGAAGTTTAAGACTTTTTCATTATCGTGGGACCAGGTTTGTAACCAGTCATGGAAATACTGCACAGCTTAGTGACATGTTCCATTAGTACAGTCTCATCAGACATAGGTCATATTGTACATTTGAAAAGTAACACGAAATCAAACGGCAACAATCATGCATTTCTACTCTCATGTGTAATCACCAATAGTGTATGTTGTTGAATCCTCCGCCCAATCCCAAAATATAATCTGATGAAGCTAGTTTTTGTAATGAAGCATGCCACCTGAATGTCATGACAAAGGTCTTTTGAATGCTTAATGTCTTTTATCAAAATCATTTAATAATAAAATGTGACGTGTTCAATACTTGTGTTTCAACTGTTTCTACCAGCCTTATTATTCCCAGCTGTACTACATGTGACATATGACAGATACTGGAACAGATGTTGGAACTGCCAGTCGGGTTATATCTCAACCCTTCTTCAACTAGTATTATTGGACTAATTTAACAGCTCTTCTTACCGTTATCAATGGGTAACCATGTTCATAAGTTTCAAAGGAAAGAAACAGTCACTTCCACGCTTGTAATCAATACAGATGGAATTTAGAGTCATTTCTTAATGTTACAGTCGGGAACACATTTTTTTCAATTTAATTTCCACCAATAGTTTCTCTTTATGAAAATAACTTATCAAAGCTACTTTAAAAGCTATATTATAGCTTCCAGCATTTCAACAAACTACTCTGGTTTAAATATGATTCTTCATCGGTATTAGGTTATGGATATCACAAATTATTATTGCTGTTTCATGAGGATTTAATAATGAACAGACTTTATATATTTATAGCCTCACAAATTTGACTGAATGTTTTCTTTCTGATGGCCTACAACATTTGACTGAGTATTTTCCCTCTGATAACTGTACACATTTGACTGAGTGTTTTCCTTCTGATAACTGTACACATTTGACTGAGTGTTTTCCTTCTGATAGCCTACAACATTTGACTGAGTGTTTGCCTTCTGATAGCCTACAACATTTGACTGAGTGTTTTACTTCTGATAGCCTTCAACATTTGACTGAATATTTCCCTTCTGATAGCCTACAACATTTGACTGAGTGTTTTCCTTCTGATAGCCTTCAACATTTGACTGAATATTTTCCTTCTGATAGCCTACAACATTTGACTGAGTGTTTTCCCTTCTGATATCTGTACACATTTGACTGAGGGTTTTCCTTCTGATAGCCTTCAACATTTGACTGAGTATTTTCCTTCTGATAGCCTACAACATTTGACTGAGTATTTTCCCTTTGATAACTGTACACATTTGCATGAAAATTTTAATTTTACTATGATAACCATACAAAGGTCTTTGACTGTATTTTCCTTCTGATAGCCTACAATATTTGACTGAGTGTTTTCCTTCTGATAGCCTTCAACATTTGACTGAATATTATCCTTCTGATAGCCTACAACATTTGACTGAGGGTTTTCCTTCTGATAGCCTTCAACATTTGACTGAATATTTTCATTCTGATAGCCTACAACATTTGACTGAGTGTTTTACTTCTGATAGCCTTCAACATTTGACTGAATATTATCCTTCTGATAGCCTACAACATTTGACTGAGTGTTTTACTTCTGATAGCCTTCAACATTTGACTGAATATTATCCTTCTGATAGCCTACAACATTTGACTGAGGGTTTTCCTTCTGATAGCCTTCAACATTTGACTGAATATTTTCCTTCTGATAGCCTACAACATTTGACTGAGTGTTTCCCTTCTGATAGCCTTCAACATTTGACTGAATATTTTCATTCTGATAGCCTACAACATTTGACTGAGTGTTTTACTTCTGATAGCCTTCAACATTTGACTGAATATTTTCATTCTGATAGCCTACAACATTTGACTGAGTGTTTTACTTCTGATAGCCTTCAACATTTGACTGAATATTTTCATTCTGATAGCCTACAACATTTGACTGAGTGTTTTACTTCTGATAGCCTTCAACATTTGACTGAATATTTTCATTCTGATAGCCTACAACATTTGACTGAGTGTTTTACTTCTGATAGCCTTCAACATTTGACTGAATATTATCCTTCTGATAGCCTACAACATTTGACTGAGTATT